CAGCCCTGCCTGCAGCCGGTTAACCCGCGGGGTTCGACGCCCACGGAGGCGGCGCGCTCACGTCATGGAAACACTCAAGTAACCACAATTTTCTCTATTGCTTTTTGGCTCCAGCCCCTCAGCACTTCCAGCCTTCTCCCGCTACCTGTTTTACAGCGCGATAATCGCTGCAGACGCTTCGCTGCGGCGCTTGGCAATTTTATTTTAGTTTCTTTTTTTTTTTTTTTTCTTAATGTAGGTTACTGTTATAAGTTCTGCCTCCGATACTACGGCACTGAGATGTTGGAAAAAAAAAAAAAAAAAAAGATTGTGAGTCATGATACCAACAGCGTGGCACACACAGTAATAGAAGTCGGTGGGGACGGGGTGCCTGGGGGGCTCAATGTGCTGCCCCATGGACCCCCCGAGGGGGTGCTCCCTGTCCAGCACCCAGCTGGGTGACAGGCATGGTGTGCCCGTGCTGAGCTTTGGGATGATGGTTTGCAATGAATTGTCCTTAAAATAGATAAATAAATAAATAAATAAATAAAAGACATTTTGGTTGGGCATCACCATCCCACCCAGGTCTGCAAACGCTGCACGTGGGAGAAAAATCGAAGCTGGTGCCCGCAGAGGTTTGAGCATATGAAAAAGCACCAAAAAAATAATAAAATTCTTTTAGAAGCAGATGAATGAACTGCATCACAGGGCAGAGAACCAGCTGGATGGGAGGTCACCCAACATGCCATGTACACGTGGTCCCAGGGGACCTGTGTGGATAAAGGGCTCCGCAAGCCCGGTGCTAGCAGCACGTTGCAGTGGTCGTGCAAGCGGTGATGCCGGCCACACGCGTGTGCAGGGCAAGGATTTGGCAGCACAGAGCGAACCACAGGACAGGGAGCCTGCATCGGCAGCACGGGGCCCTGCTCTCCCACCAGCAGCAGGAGAGAAAGCACGAAGCGAAAACGCAGCGGTACGCACGCTCCTCCGGCAGAGAAAATCTCTCTGGTAGCAAGAAATCCAAAGCAACAAAATTGTTTTGTGTTCGAGCAAGGAGAAAAGTGAAAATATTTAAACTAACTTGCAACCTAAACATCAACAACGTTTTTTAAGGCTGAGCTGTGAGAGATGATTTGATTGTAGAACAGCGACTCGGTGGCTCAGAACTGGATCTGGTGACTGCAAGAGGCTGAAACAGGCACAGACCGAGCTGCAAGGGGGGGAGAGCAAGCAGGCTGGGGGCTGTACGGCACAAACGGCACCGAACAGGCCAAAATCACTCAGCTCTGTTAAAACAGACACCTGAAATACCGGGACAAGAGGATCCGTGTGCGTGGGGTGCACTTTTGGGAAGCCGTAGCGCACCCCGCTCCGTGCTCTGCAGCACAGCAGTGAGCAGCCCCCAAACCAGCAGGAAAATACAAATATTAAAGAAATAACACTGGTGCAAGAAGTTCGGGGGGAAACCCCAAGGGTAAACCCCTAGGTAAAGGCAAGGCCCGTGGGTGCACCTGCACAAAAACCCCTTCCACACCAGCGCTGCCCCTGCCTCTGCTCGCCCTGGATGGGTTAAACTGCTGCAGGAGGCAGGCAGGACAGGGTGGATGGGAGGTTTTCTGAATGTTGCTCCTTATTCACTGGTTTTTGTTTTTTTCCTCAGCAAAAAGGTAGGTATGGAATTGGGTAACCCCAGAGGAAGGTGTGGGGCTCAAACCCCAAATTTCCTATCGTCCAGTTAGGAAAATTACGTGGTCTCTCCACAACCCTGAAGGTGCTCACACTGTTTGAGTGCATCAGCATTTCTCCTAAGGGAAAGGATTTGGAGGAGGAGAAAAAAAAAAAAAAAAAAGAAAAGAAAAAAACACACAAAAAACCACGTAGCGTGTTTATGAATCAGACTGCTAAGCGTGTGTTTCGGGGGTGGAAAAGGTGGGCGATGCGCAGAGGAACAGAGAGCAGAGTGAGATGAGTCAGAAAATGCTGCTTTTCCCCTCCTTGCCGGCACCTCAAACGTTTCAGCACCAAACAGAAATTTCTCTCTTTCTTTTTTAAAACTGTCAGGAGCGAGCCGGAGCGATAACCCGGGCTGGGAGGCAGCCGGGGTGTTTCCCTGGTGCTGGAGCCGGCTCTTAATAATAATCTTTTAATGATTATAACCCTTAGGACAGCCAGCAGGTAATGCCATCACTGTCGCATCTCGCAACGGGGCGCACGAGGCTCTGGAGGCCACCAGGCAGGGTTTTGGGGTGACCCCAGGCACAGCTGGGGTCCCGCAGGGGATGGGTGAAAGGCCGAGGAGAAGGGCCTGATCCTGCCCGCTGCCACCGCCACTGCAGGAGGGATTTTGCTTTGGAGCTGGAGGAGGTGGCACGCAAAGAGATAAATGCCCTATGCTGCAAACATCCCGGTGCTTGACTCCGCTGACATTCACAGCCCATTTAGGTTACTGATGAGGCAAATAAAATTATGCATATGCATTAACGTTGGCAATACCGTGCCCGAAATGTGCGCTCATTTACACATGGAAATCCATTTAGGAAGAGAAATCACGGCTATATTTAAATCAGAAAAATCACTCGGCTGGCCGCGGGGCAGCTCCTGCTTACATCTGTCACTCCTCGGCAGAGCTGGAATCATTTCAGAGCAAATTCAGCCTTTGTTTTTTTAAGTTCAGAAAGAAAAGGAAAAAAACACATTGGCACTCCCGTACCCTCCAGCCCTGTCTATTATAAAATTGAAAAAAAAAAAAAACTGAAATAAGAAGGCAGAGCTCTTGTTTCAGGTGGCCTGAAAGCAGCTGCAGCGCGGAGCTCGAGGGCTCGGGAGCCTTTTGCCAGTGGCCACGGTGAGACCTCAGCGCGCCGCGGCTCCTCCAGCTCCCCTGGCAAACGAAATCGCCGCGCTGCCAGCGCCAATGACAGATTTGAAACTCAAACATGAGCTCTTCCGAACAGAGAAATATCTTCTCCAAGCCCAGTAATCTATAGCGCGCTGCTCGGCTGCCAAGCCGCTAATTGGAGATATTAAATAATCAGCATTGTGCTCTGCTTCCTCCTACAAAGGGAGCTGCGAGCGCTGGAACTGAAAAGCTCCTAAAGAATGTGCCCCCCCAAAAAAAATACATATACACAAATAAAGGTGTCCCCCCAAAATACCTACACACACTTAAATAAAGCATGCCAGAGGCCACTGCTTCTCGCTCAGTGGTGCAGCTCGCTGCAGCTCTGATTTCTGAAATGCACCAACCCAATCAGAAATAAAATAAAATAAAATGAAGAAGGCAGCTCCCCAACGTATGTCAGGAGAAGTTTTTACGGAAGATGCTGTATTTCGGGCCGTGATTCACACCGCCACTGGCAGTTGGATTTCAGGTGTGGAAGGAAATGAATGAACGTGAGCCGGGAGGGTGCGAAAATGAAACCCGCCGGAGCCGCGGGGCTGCTCCGCGCTGCAAGAGACGCGAGATTTGAATTTTCTTCCCCCTTCTGAGCTCTGTGCGAGCTCAAGCGAGACGCCAAACTGCCCCGCACTTCCGCTGCCAAAATTTAATTTAAGCTTAAATTAAAATGCAATTTAATACGAGCCACCTTCGAGCCCACCGTGCTGCCCCACGCTGCTCCCGCAGCAGACTGGGTACCCAGGGCGCGCAGGTGCCGGCTCCTGCGGCCAGAACACAGCCTGCAAGCCCTCACCGTGCTGGAAAAAAGGCCCTTTGCTTAAAAATGAGCTTTTAAAACAAAAAGAACAAGCCACACAGGGTCCCATTCTTCACCATTTTAACACAAAAGCGGTCACACCTGAGCCACACACAAGAAAAACCCAAGATTTGCACAAAAGCGCAAAAAGCCATTATTTTTTGAAGCCTTCCGCCACATTTGCACCCATGCTGCTGCCCGCACGTTGCACTGGGCAGCAGGCACAGGGCTGTGCCTGTGAAGGCGACAGCCACGGGACACCCCCAGGCGAGAGGCTCTCACGGATCACCACTTTGCAAGAAATTTGTGGTCGGGAGCAAAATTTGCTGCACCCCAGATGGAGGAGGCGAGCGCACGGCCACTGCTTGAGGGAGGTGGGGGGGTGAAAAAGAAACAAATTCAAAGAGAAAAATTTATTGCCACCGCTAAGCCTTCGCTTGGCACCTACGCCACACGCTCGAGGCACCTCTCCGGAGGCAGAGAGCCCGGTGCCACCGAGCAGCCTGACTCAGGGAGGATGATTCACTTGGGCAAACAGGAGCAGGCACCGCCAGCCCCGCAGCAGCCAGGCCTGCAGGTGACACTGCCCCATGGCACGGAGCGCCCTGGGGCCACCCTGGGGCCGGGGGGAATTTGGGGAGTGAGTGTAGCCTGGGATCAGAACCGGCACTTTTGGGGGGTTCTGCCCCCAAAGCAGGCAGTGGGTGGAGGCTCCGATCCCTGCGGCTGGGGGGGCTCAGGGCTGGTGCTGCCGGGCAGGATGGGACCCCCTGGGGCTGGGGTGCTACCCAAGACCCTGTCCCCACTCAACGGGCTGGGGGCAGCCCAGTGGGTCCCCAGGGCTGGTGGTAGTGCTGAGAGCTTGCAGAGAGATGCTGCCCTTCGCTGCTCGCCCCAAAGGAGCCGCAGCAGCACCCGATGGCCACGCAGGGACCCAAGCCCTGCTGCCACCCCACACCTTGCTGCCACCCTGTGTCCCACCGCCACCCTGCTGCCACCGCACACCCACTGCCACCCTGCTGCCACCCCATGTCCTTCTGCAACCCCACTGCCACCCCGCTGCCACCCCACATCAAGCCAGCAGCGGGCCCTCTCCGGACCAATTTTGGGGCACTCCCCGCACCCCGGCCAGGACAAAAACTTCCCCCAGAGCCCCCCCAGCCCCCTCCACACCCACCCCAAACCTCCCCCCAGCCCTAGCACAGCGCTCGGTGCCCCCGGCCCCCCCCATGCCCACCACCGGGCGTCCCTCGGGGTGCCCCCGCGCATCTTCCCACCGCACCCCACCCAACCGCCGCACCCCATACCGCCGCACCCCACACTCACCATTAGGGCCGTACTTCTCCCGGCTCCTCCGGACCTGCTCGGGGCTGAGCCCGCAGCTCTCGGCCACGCCGAAGCGGCGCAGCACGTCGAGCACGGGCAGGCTGTGCGCCGCCTCCATGCCCCCAACAACGGCCCGGGGAGGGGAAGGGGGGTCCGGGGATGGGGAGAGGAGGGGAGGGGGCTCAGGGACCGGCCGCCGGGCTCCCGGGGCCGCGCACGGAGCGCACTCGGGGGCCGCCGCCGCTCGCCCTCCGCCGGCACCTCGGGGAGCGGAGCCGCCGCCCGGCCCCTCCTCCCGGCCCTCCCCGCCCCTCCCCGCCTCCCCCGGCCCCCCCCGGACCGTGCCCGGGTCGGCCCGGGACAGCGCTGCCCGGCCCCGGGGCCGTGCCCGTGGTGCCCCCCCCCCGCCTCCACAACCGGCCCGGGGGTCCCCGCTCCCTGCTCCAAATGTCCCCCTGTGCCGGGGGGGCTGCGCTGCTGGCAATGCTCTGCGGGAATGAGGGGTGCTTGCAGCCAGACGTCAGCTTCTGGTAGCCAAATGTCAGCTTCTAGTAGCCTAATGTCAGTTTCTGGCAGCCAGGCATCAGCTTCTAGTAGCCAAACGCCAGCTTCTAGTAGTCAAATGTTGGCTTCTAGCAGCCAGGCATCAGTTTCTAGTAGCCAAATATCAGATTCTAGTAGCCAAATATCAGTTTCTGGCAGCCAAACATCAGCCTCTAGTAGCCAAATATCAGCTTCTAGTAGCCAAACGCCAGCTTCTAGTAGCCAAATGCCAATATCTGGCAGCCAAAAGTCAGCTTCTAGTAGCCAAATGTCAGGTTCTAATAGCCAGACATCAGTTTCTAGTAGCCAAAATTCAGTACTAGAAAGTAGCCAAACATCATCTTCTAGTAGCCAGGCATCAGTTTCTAGTAGCCAAATGTCAATTTCTAGCAGCCAAACATGACTTTCTGGCACCCAAATGTCACTTCCTGGTACCCAAAGTCACTTTCTGGCACCCGAACGTCCCTTCAGCAGCCCTCCATGTGCACAGGACGAGCTCCCCTCGCCCACACACACGAAGCTGCCCCAACCCCTGGGTACAACCAGCCGAGGCCAGCGGCCAGCCCGCACCCGTGGTGGCCCAAACCCCGTGCCCCAGCGGTGTCCCCGTGCCCCGGCCAAGGTGGGCTTCCAGCAGCCTCCCCCAGCCTCTACAGGAGGGGGCTGGTGGCAACAGGGGCTGGTGGGCGATGGAGCCGAGCCCCACACAGCCCAGCCCCACACAGCCCAGCCCCACACAGCCCCAGCCCCACACAGCCCCAGCGGGCGGCGGGCAGGAGGAAGTGGCGGCGCGCAGCGCAGGGAGGAGCTCGGGTTATTTATTTATCGGTGCGTTTATTTATGGAAAGCCTTTCGCCGATCCCACCGGCGTGGAGGTCCTGGAGGAAGCGCGGCTTTTCGCGTTTCTCAGCCCGCTAAATTAAGTTTTCCGGCGGGGTGGGAGGCGCAGGGCTGCGCGCCGCAGCCGGGCCCCCCCCTGCGGCCCTGCTGCAGGAAACGCGGCTCCGAGCCCTGCGGCCTGGCCTGGCTTCAAGCGGTCGCCTGCCTCTCGTTTGGGGGAGAAAGTAGTGTTTGGGTGATTTTTTTTCTCCATGTCGCTTGCCCTGCCCTCGCCGTGCTCTCCCCTCCCCTGAGGGTGCCAATAAATAGAGCCGTGGCAAGGGGCTCCCCCCGCCTCATCCCGCTGCTCCAGGGCACAGGTTTTTGGGAAGGGGAGATCTCGATGTCCTCATGGACACAATTTAGGGATGCTCCCACACCACCAGGGACCAGCATCACCTTCCCTGCACCCGCCAAGGCCCGGTTTGGTGCTGGGGGCACAGCGGGGGTGTGGAGAGGCAGAGCCCCCCGGGGCCATGCGGGTACAGGCAGGAGACCCCCGCTCCCTTCGCCAACATCCCCCAGGGATTTACCAGCCGAGGCGTGGACACCAAGCCCCTACCCCGGTATTTTCCACCAGCACGTGCCCTTGCAGCTCCTTGTGCTTTCCATACCTGCTGCGTTTTGTTTGGGACCACCAGAGGATCCCCCCTAAACCCTCATCTTGGCAGCCCCTGGGGTGAGAGCATCGCGGATCTGCTGGGCACAGCACCCAGACCATGCTGGGGCTCCGGGCTCCTTCCAGTTTCACCAGCTGCTGCCAGTCCCTGGTGCTGGAAGCCAGCAGGAAGGCGATGTCCGGGCCCCAAAGGTTAAAGTTTCACCGAGCGGCAAGCAAGCGAAAATAGATTTACCCGGGGAACCAGCTGGCAGCCCTGCTGAACGGCAGCACCACCGACCCCACCTGTAATTAAGCAATTCCTGAGAGTTATTAGCAGCTTGGAGCAATAAATTAGTCCCGTAATGAGCAATGAGGGAAAATGATCTGGAGGGAAAACAGCCTCAAAGTGGCCAAGGAAGGGCCTGGGGGTGCTTGAGCAAGACCGTGGGGTGGGGGACGGAGCCCCCTGGTTTGGGATTCCCCCCTGCAGCACATCAGCCCCACGTTTCATCGCCTTCAAAACAAAAGGCAAACCTCCTTATTTGTCCTGGCTTCCCCCTGGTAGTAAATTTTGGAGGTAGAAAAGCTTAATGGGGTCATTAAAACCCCTAAATTAACAGCGTGATTTTAACACCCCCAATCTCGTGAAGCCCTTCAGCCAACACAGCACCAACGCTCAGCCAGGGCCTGGAAACCTGCCTGTGGTTTTGATTTCCCTCCTGGTTCTACAAAGGGAAACCGGGAGGAACTCTACCAAAACCCTGGGATTTGCAGTGCTGGAGCCAGCTCCTGATCCCATTAGATGTTGCAGGATTTTTTGCGATCTGCGGGAGATTCTGCATTTATCCTCACGCTGCTCCCAGAAAATGGGGAAAAAACGAGGTTTTCTGGCAAGGCCAAGAGCAGCCGGTGCCGGTGCCAAGCCAAGGGCTTTGGAGGCAGGGGCTGGCAGCAGGGCTGGAGGACGAGGACAGCACGGGCCATACTTCACCCGTGTCACTTCTGCAGCATCACACCCGAGGGGCTGTCCCTGTGTCATCCCACCAAAAGGAATTATTCCACACCAGGAGGTGACGGGGCCACGTCTCCCACCCCGCTCCCAGCCCACCATGTCCCCTCTCCCCAGTTCCACGAGCCCCCATCCACAGGGGAAGGCCGGGAAAGGCTTTTTTTTTTTTCCACAGGAGCTTTGATATTTGCTTTTCCTATGGAGAAAAAAAAAATAAAAACCACCTTGAAATAACAGTTTGAGGCTCTTCTAAATGTTACGCAGCGGCCGACCTTTCGGAGCCAGGCTTCGGGTGTTATTTTTAATCCCCCAGCCAGGACTCCCAGCAGCTGCGGGTTCTGCTCCCAGGGGGCTGGGATCCCAAAAAACACTGAAAGGCACTCAAAAATGGTGTCAGCCCTCACCTCGGCCATGCTCAGGGCTGCAGCTCGGGTATTTCCATCCCTGCTGGAGACGTATCCTCGTGTCCCATGCTGTCAACACGTGCAATTCAAGGGGTCAGTAGGAGCATGGGTATCATCAGGATTTGGCTTCTTGGATAAAAAAAAATGGATATAAATACATATAATATATGATATAATACATTATTACCTTACAGAATAAATTTGGCTTCTTGGATAATAAATTGGATATAAATAAATATAAGATATAATAAATTAGTCTCTTGGATAATAAATTTGGCTTCTTGGATAATAAATTGGATGGGGCAGGGCAGGATTCTCCAGCTGTAAGCCACGTGCTTTTTTCTGGGATTAAGCTGAAAGTGGGGTTTTCCTCTGCCCTGATCGGGGCAGATCTGGAGCACCCAGCCGAGCCCGGAGGCTGTTTCCCGGTGGGAAGCTCCCCAGGGCTGGCGTGGAGCGAGGATCCCGTGTCCTGGCCGAATTTCCTGGCATTTGCCCTGAACCCAGCAGCAGCACTTCACTTAGGAGTGTCTGTTTACAACTCCAGACCTATATTGGGCCATAATTATTGTTTTTTTCTACACCGTATTCCGATCTCTCTCAAAGGTAGGAAAACCCATTAATATCCATTGAGGGGGAGCTCCGTGACACTCGCCCTGACGCTCTAATGCTTTTTTCCCCTGCCGTAAAATACCTCCTGGAAAAAAAACAAAACAAAACAAACCCCAAACCTGCCTTTCTGGCGTGCCATTCCCAGCGGTTTTTGCTGGAGTTTAGGAAGCAGCAAAAGCAAACAGCCTCGAGGAGGCTCCAAGGTGGCGGTGAGCCCTGCAGGGCTGCTGCACGGGGAGGTTCCCGCAGCCCCCTCACTGCTCCAAGCCTTCCCTCCGTGTCCTCCTCCAGGGAAAAATTCCCAGTTTTGGGCTGGGTGAGAAATTTGGGCTCTCCATGGAGATGTGATGTGCGGAGGGTGGGTAAGGGCTGCCTCCTGCTTCCTTTGCAGCTGTGCTGCTGCCCTCCCTGCAAGCGAGTGGGACCAAAAACCACGCACCAAAAACCATCCGGGATCCCATGGATGGACGATGTGCTGTGCCCTCATCTCCTGGGGGTTTGAGCAGCCACCCCAGCACGGAGTGACCCTTTTGGTGGCAGGATGGCCGTGGTTGTTGCCTCATTGTTAAGGGCTCGCAGGCAAAATGGGTGCAGGGAGAGATGCGATCTGCAAGGAGCCCAGCGCCCTGCTTGCACCACGGGGCCGGGACAAGTGACCTTTCACGAGCACGGGAACCCCGGCCGAGCCCACACTGCTATTTTTAACCCCGCATCAGGCCAGGCGATGGCGGGTTTCCTTCCTCTTTCTCTTTCGTGCGCGCCGAACAAAGGAAAACCAGATAAACCTCCGCTCCGAGGCAGGGAAGCCCATGAGAAAAAATAAAAATAAAGAAAAAAAAAAAAGCGATGGGCAAAGCACGCTTCGGTGCAGCTTCAGGGTGGAGGGGGCAGGCTGTGTGCTAGGGGAGTGCAGGGGTCAGGAGAGCACGGCCAGGGCTCTGCCGCTGCCTCCTGAGCAGAAAATGCACCCAGGGGTAAGAGGGTTGGGTTGGGTTTGGGGTGGGGCTGGTGGGAGCAGGCACTGCAGGTGGAAGTAAAAAAACAGCAGCAGAATTTTTTTTCCAGCGGTCCAAGGATCTTGTTCCAACCCTTCCTAAATTAATGAGCGGGAATTTTTCACTCTCAAGACACGCAGATTAAGCTCTGTTTAGGAAGGGTAGGGATCCAACGTGGTAAAAATTAGAAGTTGTGTTTGGTGTAACTCCCTTTCCTGAAGTTTTTGCCTTATTTTTCATTCTGAGAGTAGAAACCAAAGCAACCCCACACCACCCTGATTCCTGCCCGTTCCCCCAGCAAGTTTCTCTCCACACTTCGTGCTTCCTAGAATTCCCTAAATACCTGCTGAAAAATCCATCCCACATTACCAGCATGCATCTACAACCCCAGAACCTTCCTCTTAGTGAAGATGAAGGTTCTGGGGTTGTTTTGATATCCCAAAGCACAGGGGTCACATCCCCCCGCCAGCTGGGACAGACAGGACCCAAACCCCATCGGTTTTCCCTGGAAAATACAAAGTTTTGTACCAAAAAGCTTTAGAGAATTGCCTGTCAGTCAGTGGTATGATTCCTGCATTTACGGCTTGTGATAGTGTCTGTGTTTTGCAGGTAGTCTGCAGAAAAAAAAAAGTGGAAACATGACAAGGAGGGAGATATCTATGTATTTATCTATATATAGCGCACAGATACAGCCAGAGCTACCTACGCGCAGCACAAAAGGAGCTGTTTGCCAAATACTTCATGGGCTGCTGTTGCTTTCCCCGATCCTTCTCCCTGGGAAAAAAAAAAAAAAGAAAAAAAAGAAAAAAGAAAAACACACAACTTCTGTTGATCAGCGAGCAAATACATATCGTTAGCTGTATAGGGCTACAGGAACAGATCTGGGCTCGGCACAGGCGGCACACGCGCGACTGCTCAGTTGGCGTCGCTTTGGATGATGCCAGGGCCCTGCACATGGCAGGCTGCGGAGGGGAAGCTTTTTTACACCATTTTTGGCCTCCCCGTTTCCAGCTGGAGGAAGCAGTGGTGTTTCCAGCCATCGCCCCAGCACCCCTCCGAGGCAGGGGCAGAGGGAGCTCTGGGGGTCCCCGGGCTGCGGGTAAGTGGGTCCAGGCTGTGCCTGCGCCTCCCCCAGCAGCCAGGGGAGAAGGAGGTGGAAAATAAAGATGATGCCCCAAAAAAACAGCTCATGGCTTTGCACAGCTGGGCTTGGCGAACATATCCCCCAGATGTATGGGGAATCCTGAGAAATGGCACCGCTGTTACCAAGAGGCTGATATCAGGGGCTGTAGCAGAGCTCTGGGGGACCAGCCAGCTTTCTGTAGCACAGACCTGATCCCATTTCTGCTGAATTTCTGCTGGGCCTGCCCATGGGACAGATCCCAAACCCAGGAGGAGTGCAGGTGTCCACCAGCAGCATCACAGCCTGGTGCTCACCATCCCTAGGCCAGGGCTCTGCACAGACCCAAACCTCTCATGGAGCTGTTGGGGCTTTACCGAAGGGAACCACCACATCCCATCCTAATAAATTGGGACGCATCACCCCCTTAGTAGGCTGTTCCCCCAAGGCTGGGCTTTTCCTGGGGGATGGTGAACGCTGCAGGTGAAATCGTTCAGCCCCAAAACACAAGAGGAAAGCCCACATATGTTCCTGTCCATGTTCCCAGCTGCAAAGTGCCTCCTGCCTGCCTTCAGGCTTTCCCACTGACCTGCCGGCCAGGAGCTCTCGCTGTCTGCTCAACCTGAATGTCACAACCACAGAAGTCCCTAGGAGCACGTTAAGTAAAACACAAAAGAGACGAATTCACTTTCCAAAAGCAGGCATCCCGAGATGCACAAACCCCAGGGCAGCTCCTGAGCTGCCCAGCTCTCACCCCCGAAGACCAAGACGAGTTGAACCCCTCTTCTCCTCATCAGAAGCCTGTGATAAAGCCAGAAAAGGATGAAAAAAAAATAAGATCAGGGAGAACATTTGCTGCTGGAAACTGCTGAGGGGAACGGCGCGATGTCTGGGAGGCGTCTGAGCACGCAGCGTGCCTCTGGGCGCTCGCCAAGGACGGGACGAGAAGCAATGGCAGAGAGCCCCGGGGGAATTTGGGGCCACCCCAGGCCCCCTGAGCCCCCTGCACCCCAATTCTTCATAAGACAACCCTCCCGGGGAATGTAATTTTAACGGGGTGAGTGGGAGGCTGTCTGCAGATGGCATCACTAGCAGACCCGCTGCCAGCTCGCGGTGTGTCATCGCTGCCGCGCAGCCCTGAGGGATGCAAATATAGCAAACAATGTCATTGTTGCTAGGATTTTCGGGCTCTGGCTGCCTGGCCAGCCTGAGAGCGGGTGGTGATGCTCGGGGAAGGACGGCCACGAGGAATGATGTTGTTCCAGATGAAGAGGGAGATGAGTAACTTTTCTCATCCGGGGTGCGAATCCATTTTTAGGCAGCTGGGCTCTCAGGTGTTGGTAGCTCTGGTGCTGCAAAAAGCTGTGGGTTCCCCTCCATAACCCCAAAGCAGACACAAGTAGCTGGCTGGAGCACTGTTTTTTAGCAGCCACAAGCAGTGGATTCCCCCTGACCCCACAAAGCACAGAGCTGGGTGCTGGTGCCCACAGGGCCGGAGTTTGGGGATGTTTGGGTACCACGAGGCTCACCGTGCTCCCGGTGCTCCAGCACCTAAAGCAGCCACACAGGCTCCCAAAGGAGATCAGGAGAGTTTTTGGAGTACTCTTCCAAGCCCCTATTTGGCAGGGGGGGGGGGTGGGGGTAACACCATCACTTATTCAGAAGTGGGATTTGTTTTAAATTCAGCAGGAAAAGCAGCACCCAGAGAGCACTGACCCCAAAAGCACTCGGATGGGACGCGTCTCCTGGAGGCGATGCCCCCTCTTCTGCACTCCCCAGGTGCCCGACCCCACCGCAGGGCTGGGGCAGGTGTAAAACAATTAATTCCCACCCAATTAATAGCAGAGCCCTTTACAGAACCAGGGAACAACAACGAGAGGCCGGTTTGGGAACCGATTCACTCCTGCCACCAGCAGCAGGACAGCGGTGCTGGGCGGGGAGGGACGGGGCCGGCCTCGTGCAGGGAAGGAGTCCAAATATCTGACATCCAGCCCCAGCCCCACCGGCTTTTTCTTCTCGAAAGTACACAATCCTGACCTATTTCCAGCACCGTTTAAACAAACCCCTGATAAATGAACGCGAGAAACCATTTCCTCCCTATTTCCTTCCATTAGAAACGAAACACGGCCATTAATCACCAATAAAGAAATAAACCCCCTAAACGATCTGCGAGGGACTGCGTTCGCCTGAGCCCGCTCCTCCCAGTGCTGCAGCACCCGGCTGAGCCTGGGAGCAGCGGGGCCAGTGCTTGCCCTGCTGGGCTGGCCCCCGGCTCTCCCCCACCGCCCCTCTTGGTGGGAACACAGCGAGGATGCTCCGCTGGGTGAGGGTGGTGCTGGGCTTAGCCGGTGCTCAGCCCCTGCACGCCCTCCTTCATTCCTCCCATCAGCATCCGAATTGTTTTCGTTCTGTGTGCCAGAGCCCTCTAGGAAAAGAAAATAATAAATAATCATCAGCAGGCTTTGCATCGATACCAGGGATGTTAATGAGAGCTGCTGCTCTGCAAGCTGTGCTGCAGCTGGAGGCACAGCCGGGCCCTAAGGACTGCTCGCTCCTCCAAAAGCCTGTCCCCAGCCCGAGGTGGCCACGCCAGCAGGGAGCAATTCTTGTCCCCGAGATGTCACGGTGGTGACGTGGGACACACATCCCAGCTGAGGGCTCTCCGCAGCAGCTTGCTGGTAGATGGAGCAGCTTTCCCCAGCCTGTAAATCTCCCCCGTCCAAAACTGGCCATCGGTGGTGATGCTGAGCACAGGGAGGTGTCCTTGCAGCCCATCCCTTCCCCCTGCCTCCTCCAGCACCCCCCGATCACACGGTACCCACACCACACACCAAGCCCTGGGGATGTCCCCACTGTCCCCACCCCACTGTGGAGCTCCCAGGGCACTGCCCTGCCCCGCTGGGGAGCCGAGCAGGATCTGCACCACGCTCTGCACCAGCACAGCCCCAGCAGCTTCCTGCCCCGGGCTTATCTCCGCACCCAGGCGGCCCCGAGGAAGCCCAGCACCCTCGTGCCATCGCTCCGTGCATGCACAGACACCGCAGGCTGGGGCTGGGCATTTCGGGGGCGATGCCAGTCCCCAGCTGGAGTATTGCAGGGCAGCATCACAGGGCAGCAGCCTGACCTCCCCCCATGCACAGCGTGGGTGTCATGATGCAGACTGGAGATAAATATGTTGGGCTTTATCTCGCTGGTGTATCGTGCAGATCGGCGGGGACACGTCCTCGCTGCTCACCCGGCGATGCCGAGTGCCCTGAAATAGCCTGAGAAAGGCAGAGGAGCTGTCGGCCTCCTCCCAGGCTCCTGGGGCACTGCGGGTCCTGCAGAGGGACAGCAGCACGAATTTTGGAGGGAACGGGATGCGTGCGCCCTGGCGTGGGTCTCTCTGGGGACCCCACGGCCACCCGGGACAGGGTGGTGGCAGCGTCTGCAAGCAGCTGTGAGCGAGAGGAGAGCATGAACCTCTCAGCAAGCCTTGGCTGGCAGCTCACGGACAGAAATAGCATGGGATTTGCTACATGAGTTGTGCAGGAGGCACTTATCTCTGCGGAAATACCCACAGGCAGGGTGCACAGCCCCGTTTGGGGACAGCCCTGTGTCCCCAGGGACGCACCAAAGCCAACGCACACTCCGTACTCACACTCCGTACTCAGGGCTATAGAGCGGGTCTGCATCTTTCAGATGCTTTGCAAAGCAATGGAAATGATCCCCAAAACCCGCGGGCAGCTGGGGGAGGATCAGGCAGAGCCCGTGGCAGCGATTCACCGCGCAGCACAGCCCTGTGCCCACCGGCTCCATCACTTCTTTGCCCGCTATCTGCCCTGCCAGCACGCAGCAGAAGCCAACAGATAGAATAAAAAAAGCTTTTGGAAAAACACCTGGAGCCTCTGCTGGCATCTTCCTCTCCAGATTAATGGGAGGGGAAAAAATAAATAAATAAAAAAGAGGAAAAGAGGAAAAGCAACCCCCATCACAGAGCACCACCAGCTTTGCAATTCTCCAACGAGTCTGACATCCACTTCCAGGGCGGGGAAACCCTGACCCCGCGGGCTCTTTCCTCACGGCACAGCTCCGGGGGGTTACGCAGGCAGGTGCTGGGGCTGCCACCCCGTGCCCTTGGGGACACAACCTCACTGCAAACAGCTCCCAGCCCCAGCCCCAGCCCCAGGCTGAGCGCGGCTTCGCTCTCCCCTTGCACAAGGGCAGCGGCGCTCTGAGCCGCACGCTTTGCGCCCTGCAACCGCCCCGGGGCACGAGGAGGTGCCAAGAGCATGCAGGGCCCCGATAAGGGCGGCGGGTAGGAAACGGGGCTGAAATCCTTGGGTTTCATAAGTCGTGTGACAATAGCGCGAGGCGCTGCCAACTTTCCTCTCGCGCACGGAGCGACAAGTGCTCGGAAACGGCAGAGCCCCGCGAGGAAAAGAGCAGAAAAGGCAAAGAAACCCTGCCAAAGGGGAGCGCCTGGGCACCGTGCCTTTTTCTGCCATTCAGGTCCCTCTCTTGCCCGAGCTGGGACTGTCCCCGCTCACGGGAAATAAATGCCTTGAGCCTCAGGAGCTGGGGGAAACACGAGCTGCCTGCACAAACCCTGAGGCTGAGCTCCGAGCTCCCCGCTGCAGCTCTGCACCCGCTCTGGGCGACTTTTGCATGTCAAAGTCAGGATTTTCAATGCAAATGCTGCTGAGCCCCAGCCCCGTGAAGCTCAGGTGCCAGCACAGACTTGGCCCCGCTGGCTGCAAGCCGCACGTTTATCTGGGGGTGAATCCTTGGACAACAAGGGGCAGGCTTGGGGTTTGGGACAGTGCAAAAGTTCCTTGGGGTCCGCTTGGGCAGAGCCAATTCTTGGCCCTGGGGATGCTCACAGAGGTTGTGCTGCAAGGAAAAGGCAACTTCTGCCCACAAAACACGCATCCAGCAGCAGAAATGGGCTAAAAAAAAGCCTCTTTGGGAGTGGAGCCGTGCAGCAGGACTGTGCCCCAGGAGTGAGGCCGGCACCCACAGGCCACATCCTGCCCCTTCCCGGGGCAAACGGCATCCCCAGAGGCAGCGATCACCATCTGCACGGGGCTTGCAAAGTGCTTTGGCTTCACATTTGCCTAAAATCAAGTGCTAGGGAAATGAAGGCACCCACCCCGGTCCCTCGGCACAGCCCCACAAGAGCGCCGCGGCAGCTGCAGGGAGCAGGAGGAGCAGGGCTGCGACCTGCAGGGCGCTGGGGACAGCTCAGAGCTGGTCAAGCTTCATCCTCCCCGCTTCGGCACGGGATTTGTATATGGAAAAAAACCTGCCAGGAGAAGGACAGCAGCCCCGCTCCGTCTGGATAAATAGTTAACCGAGCAGTCAAAATAGCCGGTGCTACGAAACAGCTGCTGGGACAGGAGGCAGGCGCCGAGGGGAAGCATCGCTGTCAGAGCGGGATGGGAGGAAGGACAAATTTGGGAACAGGGGTGGCAGAAGGGGCACAGCCCCCAGGTGGTCCCTGTGTCGGCCTCTTCCCATGAGAAGCCCAGAAGCAGGTGCTGGAGAGGGCGTCCTACCCAGGTGCTGGTCCCCAGCTCACGCTGCTGGTGTGGGGTGCCCCATTGTGCCCCCCCAGGAGCTCAGCAGTGGGGGCTCACAGGGGGATCAGTGCTGGGTACAGCTGCATCATGACCCCAGGACCCTTTTTGGGGCCTTCAGCATCCCCAAAAACCTGCATGAAGGACCTAGGGTGCATCAAAGAAGCTCACCATGGATCTGGAAGCAGCAAGATGAGGCAACACAGGACCCATCACCACACACCCTCCTTGGGGACATTCCAGGGGGCAGCCAGACCCTGTGAAGGGCTTTTAAAGCCAGGAATCCCCTTCTCCACCCCTGCTGAATGGGCAGGGCTTTGCCCTAAGTCAGGCACCTGAGCCAGAGACCCACAGCTGAAGGCTGTGAGCAGCTCCCCCCACCCAGCACAAGGACACATGTTACCCCCAAAGGCAATTTTCCAGCACAAAGCTCACCCCTACCCATGCAGGATCCAACCCGACCCCAATGCCCCGGGCCATGTGTGCATCGAAATGTCTTTCAATAACAGCAGGAGAGACTTTTGGGTGGGAAGAGGTTGGGTGTGCAGGAGCCTGAGGGAGTCTCTGCCCTGGGGACGGATGAATTTGGGGCTGCAGCACTCACACCCTCCTTGCTGCATCCCGGGGTCAGGACGTGGGAAGCCACCTCCCAGCCTAAAACCCTGGGCTGGGATTCAGACTTTGCCACGACGAGACCCCACTGGAGCCACTTCGTGTGTCACCATGGCATTCGTCTCTCCATTTCACCCAAATAATGAAGTCTATTCTTAGTCTATAGCCCTAACTGCGCTAATTACCCCAACCCCCAAATTGCTCCCATCCTCCCCCGGGCCAGGAAAATCATTGCTGCGACTCCCACACCTGGCAGGACGGCGCAGCACCTGCGGGGGGATGCACACACGCTCCCCAAACCCGCTGCTTGGATTTGCAATCGGGAAAGATTTCCTATTTAAACCGTGCGCTCTCCAGGCCCTACCTGCAGCGCTCCCTCCTTGCTGGCTGGTGAGCTATTTTAATGAATTCCCGAAATGCCACCCAGCCAGGAGCAGCATATGCTCCGGGTGGGTTTGAGCACAACGGGAGGAAGCGGTACAGATGGCTCCGGGCCGGAGAAACCGGCAGCGAAACTGCCTGGCGGCCGCCAGCATTGATTAAGCTCCTCTGAAAGCCGTCATTAAACCCCGGAGAATTGCCATCGGTCCTACAAGACGCAGCCGGGCAGCTGGGGGCTGGAGGCTGCGCTGAGATTTCGGCTTTGGAAAAGGCCCCGAAATGTCAACTTTCCCAGGGAAAAATCACAGAAAAAGAAAAAAAAAAAAAAAAGTCATTCTGCTTCGGCCAGAACATTGTATTTCTGCAAAATCACTTTGTTTTCCTTGTGGTTTTTTTAAAGTGTGGTAACGGAGTGCAAATAAAACAAACGTTTTCAAAACATGGGTAACTTTACAACAAAAAATGTAAATATTTGTCCTGACAGAGTGACACAGGCTGCTCCGACATTGTCAAGACCTTTTCTCACCCCTGTTTTCCCCCCAAGTGTGTTTTGCTTTAGTTTTTATGAGAAATCAACAGTTTTAGAAAGCTTTTGGATTTTCCAGTGGAAAAGAGCTCGAGGGAAGCTTTTTCAACAAGTTCCGCCAATTAGCTCTTGGCTGCCGGGCCCCGAGGCTGCTGTGAATTTTCCATTACTGGAAATCTTAAATATCAAAACTGGATGTTTTTCTACAAGATAAATGGGGCTGCGGGGCAAGCCGGCAGCTGCGGCTGCACGGCGCGTCGGCCCGCTCGCTCGCCGCTCCCTTCAGCCCTCGCTGCTTACAGGAACACTAAAACAAGAGTGCCCAATTTCTTGCAAAAAGCTTGGTTTTGGTGTTTTCTTTCGCCTGAGATACACACGGTGAGCGTGTGCAGGAGCGCTGGGGCAGTGCTGACAGCTCCCAGCTGTTCCCACCTCCTGCCTGGGCTGTGCACCCCAAACCTCTCCGTGCAGCCCGCAGCAGCTGCCCAGACGTGCAGCTGTGCTCCAGATGTGCAGCGCCCCCGAGCAATTCCCCACGGGCAGCAGGTCCCGAGCAGCCAGAGTTTCAGCCAGCTTGCTCAGAGGCTCAGGATGGATGCTGAGCGTGGGGCTGGATGAGCTGTGGGACCCCCCCGGCATGGTGAAACCCGTGGTGTTTCGTGAGGATCGTGGCAGGTTTTTATTTCTGCCAGCGGTAATGCGCACCGTGCACATCGCACGCCACGTTCATCAAAAAATACAATTTCAAAGGCATGAAATATTTAGAAGCAGCAAAGCAGCGGGACATTAAGTAGCAGTAATATTCGTGGGAAATAAGGAGGAGGTTTGGTTTAATTATTGCATTCCCAGCTCGCACCTTTTTGGCAAAAGGGCAGCCGAATCCTGGCATCCTGCGCCTGCCTCCAGCCCGTGCCCGGCTGTGGGGCCACGACGCCTCGGGGCTGGGGCTGTGTGTCCGTCAGAGGCTTCTCCCCTCTCCTTTTTAGCATCCTTTTGGGGCTCGGCTAGAAGGACAGAGCCCGGGGGTGGATTTCTCTGCCGGCTCCGGAGGTTTCTGTGCGATCTCAGCGCTGGTGTGACTCAGCCTGACTCAGCCTCGCCGAGCTGCGGCGCGGAGCGGGGAAGGCAGAGGCTGGCGGCTCGTGGAAGTGCTTTCAAGGGCCCTGCCTGAAGCTGCTGTGTATTCGGATGCTGGGTTTGGGGGGGGATTTTTTAATGTTCCTAAAGGATGACGCCGAGCTCTGGGAAGGATCCTGGTGTTGGGGCCAGCACAGGACCGGGTGCCCAGTGGGAAAGTTGTGCGGTGCCACCAAAATCAGGAGCTGGGGCAGATCCTGGGCAGCTTGGGGCTGACGTCCCCAAAGCACCAGTTTTGGGATCATTGTGCAGAAGGAGAAAAAAACATTCCACGAGAAAACCTTACAGTGCAGCTGCACAATCCCTGCTCCACTGCTATCCCCTGACCTTTCCAAAGGGGACCTCGGCCTGCCTGGGGACCTCACTGCAACCACGACATCCTCAGCCCCGTGCCACCACGAACACAGCACTTTTAAGGGTGAAAACCAGAAATAACGAGAGCTGTGCCGAGGGCAGCCCGCCGAGCAGGCTGTTTTGCCTGCACAAAACAAGTCCCCGGGGAGCTGGGAGTTTCCTTAGGCGGGAAGGGCCATGAGAGCCACCGCGCAGGGCCAGGGCAGGGCTTTTCTCATTATTTTTATTTAGGTGGCAGAGAAATCTGACGGCAATAGAAAGGAGCTGGAAAAACAAACAGGTGTGTCCGGCACCGGAGGGGCCGTAGCTATAGCAATGGGACAGCCCTGTTGACAAAAGGCTGCACAAAAGACCTTCTTTATGGATTAAAAGTGGCTCAGGAGCCGGCCACACAGGGCTGGGGAGCCAAAAAAGCAGCACCGGGCGAGCGAGCGCCGGGTGCCAACCCACTGCGCCCGGCATCCCCCGGTGGCATTTCTCTGAGGTCCATGGAAATGGGGCATTTGTGCAGGGGGGGCTCTCCCATCGCTGCAGGGGGGTCCCAGCTCTGCAGCAGGCAGGGAAGGAGTTATTTGGGGTGCCCCCAGGCACTGCTCTTCCGCTTCCTCCTCTTGTGGTTGCAACCTGGGGTGAGCGCTCGCAGGCTTTTTGAGCTCTCCAGATCCTCGGCACAAGAGGATTCGCATTCGGGGCGAGCTTTGCCACAGACGAGGGCTCGTGAATAATGAACCGAGCCGCTCGCGGGCTGGGGCTGAGCCGCAATTCTCCATTTTGACTTATCTGAGCCTTGCCCGACGACGGGCTCGTAATTAAAGCCATAGATCAGCGCTGACATCTGCGTGACTCCGCATACAGGCGCTCGACACCGCTGGAGCAGGGCTGAGAGGAGCCCAGCCCTCGCTATTCAGAAAATTTGGGGTGGTGGGGGGGATATTTGAGAAAATGAGCAAGTGGCAGTGCCTCTCCCTCGGGCCCTGGCAGCCTGGAGGGCAGTGGCTCCGTGCTGGTAGGAAAGGCTGCGTAGGTGACCACAGAAAGGAGGAGGGAGCCGGTCCCCACAGAGCAGGAGGATCCTGCCCACAGGAGGCTGCCTCCCCCAGCAGCCCCTACACGGCCTCGGGAAAAGGGGGAGGTGGAAATCAGGAGCTGGAAGTCACCTTGGGCTGGTCCCCCAGGGCTGTGCCAGCAGTGTCGCGTGTCCCTCATCTCCTTCAGCTGTGCTGAAATGGTGCGAGGTGAGGGGAGAGCGGCGGTTCCCCAAAATCCTCATGGGAGGAAAGGGGCAGGAGCTGGGGGGTGCCCCAGGGGGTGCCTCGGGGCATCGAACCTCGAGTCCTGGGAGCCACATCCCGGGGGGGACACAAACCTGGCCCAAGCCCAGGTAGCACCAGCACAGCTGGGGCAAGAAGAGGGGAATTTCCCTCATTTCAGGGGGAAAATCAAGGCTTTGCCCCACCACATTGCTCAGGAGCCAAGAAATCAAACACGGATGGCGAAGCCGTCCGAGCGGTGACACCGGGGGGTTACAGCACTGATAAACCACAGATCCCGGGGATGCTCCTTGCTCCCAGTGCCGCCGGCAGCTGCTCCGGGGGCGTGCAGCCCCGCGGGGCCGTATGCTGCACCGGGAACAGGCGCTTCCCGGGCCCGCGGGGACAGGCTGTTCCCAGCCAGAGAGCCCCAGCGCTCGGCTGCCTGGCGAGCACTCTGGGTGCTCGCAGGAACAAGCTGGGAAGAAACTGTGTGATTTTTTTTAATTATTTTTTGCAGGAGAAACCTTCTGACAGCAGCAGCCGGTGGTAGCACCGGCAGCTCCTGCACCCCGTGCAAGCTGTGCTGGCCCTGAGGGCACAAAGGGGCACCGAGCACCGTACAGAAAGTGGGTGAGAACCCAGAAGGAACAGAAAGGATCTGTCTTGTGTGCTTCTGGCACCGATTCTGGCTGCACAGAGCAGAGCAGTGCCTCTACCTCCTGCCATCCATGTGGTGGGGCCAGGCTGGGCAGGCGGTGGCGGTGCCACCACGCGGGGACCTCCTGGGCACCGACCCCTCACCCATGGGCAGCCCCTCTGGGCGCTGTGCAAATCTAATTAAAGCAAAGCTATCGTCCGTCAGCAGCCTTAAGCATCATCAGAGCAAAATTGGCCAGTGAGTTCATGGTAAATAAGCAGCTATTTTAGGCTCCCTGGGTCCTGCCCCTGTGGGAGGTTTGCTTCCCCCAGTGGGATGGAAACGCAGGAACCTCAGGGCGAGCAAGGAGCACGGCCTCAGAAACACCAACAGCACTGAGGAAGCTGAGCCCCCTTCTAGCAAGCGAGGAGCCAAAGCTCAAACT